AGCCCTCTCCGCAGTCTGTCATTTTACGGTTCTGCTGCATTACATTCTGATGATTTCCGATTCTGACAATGTTCGGTTTTGATATTTTACGGATCTGTCGATGTACGGTTCTGAATTTTTACGATTCTGTAATTTTACGGTTCTAACATTTCACTATTCTGCTGTATTACGGTTCTGATAGTTTACGATTCTATCAGAATCAGTTTATAACATCACGGTCTGATGAATTACATTCTGTCATTGTACGTTCTGATATAATATAATTCTGATGGAATACGGTCTGTTGTTTTACGAGTCTGTCGATGTATGGTTTTAGCATATTACGATTGTTTCAATTCACAGTTCTGATATTCTGTGATTCTGCAAATGTGCTGATCTGATTTCGTACTATTATGTCGAAGTACGGATCTGACATTTTACTATGCTGTCGATGAACTGTTTGTTATATTTCGATTCTGACAAAGTACGGTCTGCTAATGTGCGGTCTGTCATTTAGCTATTCTGACGAATTACGGTCTGTGTTATTATGGTTCTGACGAAAGATCATTCCGCTGGATGGTGGTTTGTTAGTTTCCGATTCTGTCGATTTGCGGATCTGCGATATTGATTTTCTAGAAAAATACACATCTGCGCATTTGCAATCTGTTATTGTCTAGTATGCTTATGTACAATATTCAAAATACGGTTTGAGTGATTACGTTTCTGTGCATCTGAAGTAAAGATGAATATGATTCCTATGAATTTTGCTTCTGGTGAATTACTGGTTTGAAAATGTATATTCTGATGGATTACGGTTCTGCGATTTTGACCTCTGAAGAGAACACCATTGTCGGGTGTGTATTGAAGATCCTCAGCCGCATCACCAGTAAGACCAGTCTTGATTTTTGAGAGTTCCTCATCTTTTCGAGCAATGGTCTCTGCAGTGACTTCTTCCGACGATATCTGATATATTGAATACGAATTTATCTCGTGTACTTCTTGATTTATTGAGGTATTGATTGTTTGAAGATTCGATTTGATGGGTGCTCTGGATAAACAATCGACGTTGGTGTTATCCGAACCTTTCTTGAACTTTGTTCCGTAGTCGAATCCTGACAAGAACGCAGCATATCAAAGCAAACGAGCAGATGTTATAGCTGGAATTTTATTTGAATGATGAAACATTTGGATGAGTCGCTAATTATCTGTGATAAGTTGAAAATGAGAGCCATTTCATTCTGTCGGATTGTATGACTAAGATACTGGATATCTGTTTTGAAGAGTTCGCACTTATCTTCAATCAGATGCAGATCATACTTCTGCAACTGCGGAAGACATTTTTCAAGCCTGAGTTCACATTCTTCTCTTGAACAACTTGGGATGATTATATCATCAAAATATAATAGAGTTCCTTCCAGCCCCTGGAGGATTTGATCTGAAATCCTGTTGAATTCACTCGGTGCCGTCTCGATTCCGAAAGATAGGCGGTTCATGATGTAGGTGAACCTGTGTGTCGATATGGTTGGAACTTTGGTACTGTCCATTTCCATGTGGAAAACCATGAAGCATTTCGGAGACTGTTGAGAATATCGTCGATCCTTCTGATAGGGTAATGTGCAGACTGTAGTTGTGGATCAACTCCAACTTTGTAATCGACGTATAGACGTACTTTGTTACCTGACTTAGGTACACACATCAAGGGTGAGCATCAATCGCTATAATTGACTCAAGAACATCAATCTTTTTTCCAACCTCTTCTCTCGATGCGTATGGTACGTCACGTTCCCGTATAGAAACTAGCTTGGCTCCTCCTCGAAGATGAAGAGAACATTAGATACCAGGAATGCAGTTCTGATATCGGACGCTGTCTTAAGGCCAGTAAACGACTGTCTACCTCAGAAGCTTCGATGGCTAGAGCTTTTTGAACGATATCATCGAAATTCAATGTGTCAGATTGTAGAATATTTTCCCGTATTGAATCGTCTCGAAGTCCTCTTATAAACTGTGCTCGTAGAAAAACGTCTGCAATATTGAGTCTGCATGGACAGGTGGATATAAATTCACAATCACTAATATCCTGTCAGATTAGTGCTACAAAATCAGCAACAGACTGATCTTCGTGCTGGTAAAGTGAAAGGAATTTATGTTGGGCAACTAATATATTCTTCTTAGGACATGAATGATCTTCAAATTTCTTCACGATTTCCTCATAAGAAAGATCATTTAGAGTTCTTGAAGAAACAAGGGAAACTATGAGCTGGTATGTTATAGAACCAACTGAATTCAGAAACATTTGATCACAGTTTTTTATCTGAGTAAACGCCTCTCATGGTCAAATGATTTTCGAATCGTTGATGATAAATTTTGAAGCTGTCCTTTGATGCAACGTAATTTCCGAAGGTTACGGTAGCTTGACTTTGAACTGAACTATCTGAAGCAGATGCTCTAGAAGTAGCGGCTATTTGCTGCAGTTATAACTGTTGATTTTTGTTGAAATTTTCAAGCAACTGCGCGAACTGTTCAGCATTTATTTTGAGGCACTCGCTTTGCTATGTCGTAATAACTTATAGTCCAAGAGCTGAGAGTAAAATAAACTGCCTCATAAGTTACCAAAGGTTTGACATTGGGCTTACAAAGAATTAATAACACTAAAAACAAAACCGCTCGTCTGCCGGACTTGAGTGGTCGCCTTTAGGGTGTATAATTATCGAAATTTTGAAAAAACTGACATACATTTACCTCATTATTACCAGGATGAAAATGACGTCAAACCAAGGGGAAATGAAAACTGAACGCAAAATACGGGCGTCTGCCGCGCCAGGCGGTCGCATTTTTGAAACAGACGACCAAAAACATTTTCAAAAAACGCATTCAATATCGTCATCAGTTACCAACCCGATTTTCTGCACACGATCAGTTCTATGGCCAGTCAATCCTATGGTGAAAACAAAACTTCGGCAGACGGTCGCATTTAGAAGACAGACGCACCGAAAATACTAGAAAAATTGGGTTTTTATACTTGTTCGAAAAAGGTGCCTGATCATTACCAACATATTTTTTTCATAGGAAGAATGTAAATTCAATTGATTTTGTAAATTCGGGCGTCTGCCAGTAGATAGTGAACACATAATGAAAACAGACGACATATATATATATATATATGAAGTAAAAGATTGTAGGTTTAATCCGTTCCGTGAGTGGAATGTCAATCGGTGCAAGACAGTCTGTTTCAGCTCTCCAAGCATCATCAGTTGCACTAGGCCAATCGACAATCCACTCACGGACCGGTCACTATTTGAAGACCAACAGGTAGTCTTCAACAGTGCGGAATACGGATGTTTGGTACAGTGCCACCTACTAGCACTAGACAGAAACGTGCTTTTCGGGCAGCGACGTAGGAGTACAGATATCTCTGTTACTACACCTACGTGCCCCGAGTGCACCTCGATAGTGTGGTATGGACCACAGACAGAGTAAAGAAGAAGAAAGATAGTGTGTATGAACACAGAGCCAGAGTATGAAGTAAAAGATTGTAGGTTTAATCCGTTCCGTGAGTGGAATGTCAATCGGTGCAAGACAGTCTGTTTCAGCTCTCCAAGCATCATCAGTTGCACTAGGCCAATCGACAATCCACTCACGGACCGGTCACTATTTGAAGACCAACAGGTAGTCTTCAACAGTGCGGAATACGGATGTTTGGTACAGTGCCACCTACTAGCACTAGACAGAAACGTGCTTTTCGGGCAGCGACGTAGGAGTACAGATATCTCTGTTACTACACCTACGTGCCCCGAGTGCTAGTAGGTGGCACTGTACCAAACATCCGTATTCCGCACTGTTGAAGACTACCTGTTGGTTTTCAAATAGTGACCGGTCCGTGAGTGGATTGTCGATTGGCCTAGTGCAACTGATGATGCTTGGAGAGCTGAAACAGACTGTCTTGCACCGATTGACATTCCACTCACGGAACGGATTAAACCTACAATCTTTTACTTCATACTCTGGCTCTGTGTTCATACACACTATCTTTCTTCTTCTTTACTCTGTCTGTGGTCCATACCACACTATCGAGGTGCACTCGGGGCACGTAGGTGTAGTAACAGAGATATCTGTACTCCTACGTCGCTGCCCGAAAAGCACGTTTCTGTCTAGTGCTAGTAGGTGGCACTGTACCAAACATCCGTATTCCGCACTGTTGAAGACTACCTGTTGGTCTTCAAATAGTGACCGGTCCGTGAGTGGATTGTCGATTGGCCTAGTGCAACTGATGATGCTTGGAGAGCTGAAACAGACTGTCTTGCACCGATTGACATTCCACTCACGGAACGGATTAAACCTACAATCTTTTACTTCATACTCTGGCTCTGTGTTCATACACACTATCTTTCTTCTTCTTTATATATATATATATATATATATATATATATATATATATATATTTAATTCTGCAATAATATCCATAAAGAGTGTTACCACTGTGTACTGAAATATTTCGATGGCATAATAATGGTGATATTCACTATGATATGATGTGATGTGACAATAATAATGATGATAAATATCCATGAAGATAGTTTCGTAACATAACTAAAAAATATACCAAAAAAAGAGCAGTCATAAAAACATTTTTAAAGAATCCATCCTCAATTCTCCTCATCGCTAGAATAGTTATATAAAAGAGATTCGTCGTCATCAGTGTCATCACTATTATAGTTATATCCGTCGTTGGAACTACTAAAATGTCTTCTATGCCATTTGGAGTTTGTAGGCCTTCAAACCATTCAATTTGGAATTTGTTATTAACTAGAACCCAACCGTTATTTTCGGGTTGGTGAAAAAGTGGTTCAGGAGACGTGGCGAAATTCCATATAGCACAAATTTGATTCACTCTTTTGATTTTGCTAATCAAAACAGATCGACAAGGGGGTAACAAGCTACCATCCAAATTTTTTAATTTTTCGAAGGGTTTTGTTTCTTTCGATAGATTTACTCCATAACTTTTCGTGAATGTCTAGACGTACTTCGTTCACACTTTTTATTTTATGCCTTCCGTACATCTTACAAATGAACATTTCAACGCAGTCTACTTGTTCGTCTGAAATTGTTTTAGAGCTGCCGAATGTACCAAACACTTCTGCAGTTCTCAAACAATTTTCTATGAGTCTTAAAAATCTTGTTTTGCCCTTTCTTGCAAACGATGCAGTGTAATCACTGCCTGTTAGGGCGTGATAAGCTGGTAGTGCTTTCGCTACGGTCTCCACCAAAGTTTCATAAAAAGCATTGACTGCGATATAACGTAAAGTATTTTTACTTTGGAGTCAGCCTCAAGATGTGTACAAAAATGCTCAGGGTCTACCTCTTTTTTAATATGCCCTCCATATTCATAAAAGAGGTAACATGTGTCTTGACAATTTACTATAACTGATTTATCATTTGAAATCCCTATTATGTTATCTGTGCTCCAAAAATTTACTATAAAGTTTACAAGCTCAGATTTGAATGAATCATTCCTTAAAGCTTTCAAAAAATCTTTGGGAACTTGCTGGTCTGCTCCAGTGATATTAAATATGTTGGACCTCTCTGCATATCCAGCACGCCTGTCTCTTTCAATATCTTTGATTGATGGATTCACAAATTTATCAAAAATAACATCTATTCGGCTGCTTGAACTTCTACATAGCTTTTTGAGAATATGAATTGCTAATCTTCCAAATGTGTTAGGAATATCGCCCAAAAGGTGTAGAAAATAGAATCCATCAAATATAGTACATTCGATGATATTTGGAACAGGTGTGCTAGGGCTGTGTTTTTCTAATAATCTAAATAATTTTGATTTATCAGTCTTATTAATACTTCCATCGATATGGCTCAATGATAATGGAACTGGTGTCAAGGGATATGAAAGTACATTAAGTGAATCAATTTTACGTTCCAACGCTAAAAATGATATTCTTCCAAGTAGATTTCTATCTACTGTCACCTCTTCTTCTGCAAACTTTCACTTTGTTTTGTAAAGCAAAACTTTGTATTTTCTGTTTCGGAATTGGCTTTTCGAACCTGCTTGCATCCTCCCTACATTCCGCAACAAATTTATCTCGTAGTTTTTCTCCCATGGAAACAATATTCAAAAGAAAATTTTTAGTGCACTCGGTGGCAGCTTTTCCTGTCGCCAAATTAAGAAGTTGATTATGGTCTGAAATTGCAGATAAAAAGGGATTCAAAGTTGTAGAAATATGGTTGACCATTTCTTGTAGGAATGCGTTATCTTTTTCTATTCTGTGATTGCGAAGATCATTCGATACGTCTTCAGCAGAAGTCAGTTTCAGGTTCTCCAACAAATTTGTAACTGAAGATGTCCGTAGAGAATGACTTGCTGCCCACCGACGCCTAGCTGATATTGAATTGGTGAAAGAAGTGATGCCTGCAAAAAATATGAATAACATATATACATATCCTTACATATTTATGCAAAAAAAATGAATAATACCTGTTAACTTATTGGCAGCATCTGCATTGATGGTCTGCTCCAGTGTTAAGTCTATTGGTGTCCCCGAGAATGATTTTTCGGTTCGCCGTATGGAAATACCGCCACCAATTAATGTTTCCTTGAGGCCGGGATGTGTATTCTCTACATTCGCTAGGTTAGCATATAATCTCAGGATCCATCTGGCATAATTATGATGATTCATGGAGAACATAAGACTGGCTATTTCGAACAAACATGAGATAAACAACTCTAAATCGTTTGTCCGTATACTTCTGGAGAATTCTTGAAATAATTTTATGAAGTTCACATATGTAATCCAATATTTCGCTGTTACTCCGTGTACCCTTTCGGCTGTCTCTTGATAATATTTTTCGTAGCCATCCAAAATCTCAATGAGTGTTGGTGATAAACTATAGACTCAGTCAATTTCTCATCTTTGATTGATTCAAGATCATTTGTTACATAATCTGGAAATATATTATTTGATTGAAGATATGCACGAAAGTGCAATATTTGAAAAGCTGCAGCAAACATAGGATGGATTCTTTTGCACCTATTATAATAGGTGCCAGTTATGAAACCTTTCAAGGAACCTGAAGCTAGCACTCCTGATTCAGCAAGTATATATGGACCTCCAGATTCTTCAATGTACTTCCCTACTGCTTTGAAAAAAAAAATCTGGATGTGAAATGCCCCTAATTGAATAAATATGTTATTGTATTTGGGTCGTTCCTCGCTCTGAATTTGCATGGTCATCTTTGCTATAGCCAGATCGTATGTTACGGATATGTAGGGTTGTTGACACTCGTGAGCTATATTTTGTGCTAAATTCAATGTATGAGCCACTACTGACATGTTTGTAGGAGATTCGTTTATTGGTGGCAAGTAAGAAACATTCTGTATGGGCATGGGCAAAGTACTGCTATCCAGTTGTAGATTGTTCCATCCGGTCCACATAGGAATTTCAGTGTCGGTTATGGCAAGAAGTATGAGCCATATGTTATCCAGACGTTGAATGAATTTATATTTATTCCGACTCATCGATAATGAAGGAAATTCTGAAACTTCTTGTAACTTGGGCTTTTTGCGATATGGTTCGATGTCTGTATCAAGAATATCAAACATGCGTCGTCTTTTCCTCTGAGATGTTGTACTGAGTAACGATGTTCTTGGGTTATCGTTAACATCAATTTCCTCCACATCTTCAGTAATATTTTTATTCTGATAAATGATGCCTACTGTATCATGCAGCGTATCCTTTCCAGAAAGTGTTTCCACAAACCGATCAAAATTATCGAATGCTACTCCTGTTGCTAAATTTGGTTCTTGCTGAATTCCATATGGTGTCGTGAAATTTTCTCCACATGAAGAATATGTTAGTTCCGTCTCCAATTCTTCAACTGCCGAATAACTTATACTATGCCCCAGTCGATTCAGTATGTTAATAACTTTACGGCTGCCTGTTAGAGTTTTCATTGCCATGCCTAACTCCATATGCTTAGATGTTTTAATACGACCATTCTTCACTGAGTAGATTGAATCTTGAATGAGCGACTCAACCCTAATTTTTTTTTCTGTTCCTGCTCCTTTATATATATCTTTGAGCATTATCTGATCAGGCAAAGGATTTTTATTATTACTCAAAATCTCCTTACGTGAAAGGAATGCGACAGATTCGATATTTTTTTCTGAACTTGTAATTTTGTTGATGCTAATGCGGATTGCATTCACAGAATCCAAGTGTGTACTATGTACTACTATTTTACCTCTCGTTTTTGTGAAATGCATTTCGTTCTTATAGATTTGTTTTAATTTGATTAGTAAATGAGCACATGTAAAATTGGAGTTATCAATTCTCACGGAATCAACAGCAGCAAAATCAAAAAAGTATTGGAGATACACCCGGTGAATGCTTGTAAGAAGAAATGCATCATTGTTTCCTAAAATATTAACTCTGATATAACTTTGCAATTTTTCAAATGCCCGCCTATGATAAGTTCTGTTCACATGCCAATCCGTGCATTTATCCTTGCTTTTGAATTTCTTTTGGAATTTCATAGAATTGGTACGACATATTCTATGATAATGTATCTCTTTCGCAATAAAGTCAGTATCTCTGATTTTGGCTAAGAGCTCTTGGTCATTCAAAGAAATTGCATATTGTTTTATCTTATTTTCAAACAATTTTGTTTGGCAAGCACTGAGTCCAATACGTTTTTATTCTTGTGAACAAATACTCTATTGCAGAGAATACAGGATTTTTTTAGAACACTAGTGTTTGGATCATTCAAAATAGTCTTTTTTGATCGAGTGAATCTTTGTATATCGTCTATAGATATGTTTCCATTTGCCATTGAATTTTCTTGTTCATTCATATTTTGGATATCGCTCTCTGTAACAGTGGCAAGTGTTTCTTTTTTGATAGCAGTGAATTTTCTGCAACAACTTGTGTGGTAGCTAAGGTACATATAGTTCTGATAAGGAACTTGAGGAAGTTGTATGTCAGCATATTTGAAATTATGTTTTCTACGGCAACATAATGCTAACTGGCATTTTCTAAACGTTTCAGCAGTGAAAGATTTTGTTTCTTCGGATTCTGAAACATTTCCCAAATGAATGCAGCAATTTCTCCTAGTATTCGAGGAGGTGCTGGGTGCATTCGAATCCATTGCCTTCAATCAAAAAAAAAATTTTGTATCACCACAAATGGACCAACGAGTTATTAGAAGAACGTACTACATTTTATTCTCAGCGCACCATAAAAACGAATGAATTCATTCAAAACTCAGATAAATATTTTTGATAATAAATTGTTGAAACATGTCGAGAAGTTTTTTGGATTACTAATTATTTGGAAGATGTTCCATATCCACAGGGTGAATCATTTGGAAGATATGGAGGCATGAAGGCATGTTGAATTTTTGTACAAATAAAGCATACGAGTAGGTATATACCCTTTTGAAAAATGAGTTGATATGTTTCAGCGTTTTTTTTTTTCAAAAACTCTCGCCGAAATTTCAATTATTTCTTCCGTTACTTAGGGAATTCACTGTATATTTTAGTGGAATTATTTATGATACGTCATAAAACGTTAGGTACAAAGAAAATTATCATACGCCGGCAACACTGCATTAAACAGAAATGTCATTACACTACCTATACTCTGAAAATCAAACCAATCGAATACACTTACTCAATAAATCAAGTTTTTTTGGATAGGTGTGATGTAACAAAAGATCTTGGTATTAACTTTGACTCCAAATTGAGCTTCTCATCACACATTATTAAAACTGCATCAGCAGCGAAAAAAATGCTTGGTTCGATTTTCAGAAATTGCAAAGACAAAGATAGCCTCATTGCTCTCTTTACCTCATATGTGAGATCACGCTTAGAATATGGCTCGCTGATTTGGTCTCCTATTTACTTGAATCACATTCATCTGCTCGAATCAATTCAACGGAAATTCATGAAGTATATTGCATATAGAATTGATGGAATTTATCCTGAACAAGGTTTAGATAATAACTTATTATTAAACAGATTTTCACTATTGTCTCTGGAGGACCGTAGAACTTACCACTCTTGCATATTTATCTATAAACTCACAAACAACCTGACTGATTGCCCAGAGTTATTATCTCAACTAAATTTCAACATACCTCGTTTGAACAGTAGAACTTCACTTTGTTTTTATTTACCTACTCCAAGAACAAATATATAATTGAAATCTCCAATTCATTCGATGTGCAGAAAGTTCAATCAGATATGCGAAAAAACTGATATATTTTCAACTCCCATTGGAGTGTTCAAAAAGGAAATAAAACATATTTTTTCTACCTTGTGATGTTTACGAGGCAAATATGAAAAAATCCCTCTTTATTCATATGTTATTCATTAATACATGTTATTATGTTTCCTTCCGTTTTCTTTTTTTTATTATCATTATTATCTACAATTGAAATCACTTTCTACAACTACTGAATGATTTATCAAAATACTTTATTTGGCTCTTAGATTTAGATTTCAGTAATTGTTCACAGTTACATGTACACATTGTAAAAAGCTGTCCTGTAAGTGGGTCTTGTACCTGTTTGGGCAATAAATAGTTTTTTTTTTTTTTTTTTTAAAGATGAACCACGGCGGATAAGATGGGTAGCCATCTTAACGGCGGAACACGGAACGGAACCACATATTATAAGGTTTGTTAATCTGTGACGGAACTCTTCTCTGTGAAACATCCAAACATAACCTTGCTTTAATTTGAAAAAAATACAATACGGACTTACCTTACTATGAAGTATTATCACAAAAAACTTGCGGTAGTCAACAAATCAATCAAGGTATATCAATGAGAGAATCAGAACAGAAGTTGAATTATTTAGATCGCTTTTTCTCTAATCACAAAGCACCCTCAACTCAACACAGCTAATACTGATTTCAGATGCAACGTTGACACGTTGACAGTTATTACAGTAATTTTTCTTCACCGTTTTTTGAAATGTAATATACAATATTTTTTTTTAATTTGATTTCATTTCGAGATATGCATAATAAAATCAACAATGGGTTATTATTTTCATAATAGAATACACATCTTGAAATCCTGTACAGTCGTTATAAAGATTTTATATTATAGTGCAGGATCGGATATAATGAATAAGATGTCGTCTGTTTTCAATATGTGTTCACTGTCTACTGGCAGATGCCCGGATTCACAAAATCAATCGAATTTACATTCTTTCTATGAAAAAAATATGTTGGTAATAATCAGGCACCTTTTTCGAGCAAGTATAAAAAATTTTTCTAGTATTTTCGGTGCGTCTGTCTTCTAAATGCGATCGTCTGCCGAAGTTTTGTTTCCACCATAGGATTGACTGAACATAGAACTAATCTTGTGCAGAAAATCGAGTTGGTAACTGATGACGATATTGAAGGCGTTTTTTGCAAATATTTTTGGTCGTCTGTTTCAAAAATGCGACCGTCTGGCGCGGCAGACGCCCGTATTTTGCGTTCAGTTTTCATTTCCCCTTGGTTTGACGTCATTTTCATCCTGTTAATAATGAGGTAAATGTATGTCAGTTTTTCCAAAATTTCGATAATTATACACCCTAAAGGCGACCACTCAAGTCCGGCAGACGAGCGGTTTTGTTTTTAGTGTTATTAATTCTTTGTAAGCCCAATGTCAAACCTTTGGTAACTTATGAGGCAGTTCATTTTACTCTCAGCTCTTGGACTATTACTCCCAATCTTCACTTCTTGTTCTCGAAAGAAGGTTTCAGTTTTATTCCAATCCTCGTCGCCAAATTGTTGTGAATATTAAATAAAATGCTCGCGTATTCTCAACATTCATTTGACTGTATGTCAACTTGAAGTATATTTCGAATATAACGGAGGTTCCGGGAATGTATAAGTTATAACACTTATTTTGTGGAATGAACGAAGATCTCTTTTCTTCCTATCTATAGATAACACATGTACGTGAATTCAAATATAATGAACAATAATTTTGCAAGAAGAGAATAATTCAATAATGTTGTTCTTCCTGTAATAATATGAAAAATATGTATACAATTGTTTTTCAAAAGGACAATCCAGGGCTTGAAGAAGCATGAACGTTCATTTGCTCGTGAAAAAATGGAGAGATAAATATATCGTACCTTATTAAGATTTGAATGAAAACTTTCTGAAATCTCAGGAATCAAACCGAACGAATACGATATTTTAAAGTCACTAGACGACTTACCAGACTCCTCATGCATATAATGTTCGGATAGGTTATCTTGATGGTGTCACCCAGATTCTAACACATCAAGTCCATAACTGCACCTTTTGCTCGGATACTTTTGGTCATAATTTCCCTTGACATATCTAAGAAGTGAAATGTTCGACTACTTCGATTTGTTCATTAACGTTGGTGTGGTACCCACTTTCACTAAATATCATAACAAAGAGAGATATACTCAAAGTCATTACCACACTTGTTCATAAAATGAACGAAAATGGTTGATAACGAGGAAAGAACAACTAATTTCCTGGCAATATGCCACGCAGAACATTGGATAACATCCTCCCGAAATCTATGCAATATTTCGTATAGACGAATAAAATCGCAAGTGTCTCCTTCCTAAATGCTGAGCTGCGCCAAAGTAGTTCAGGAACGCGTGACTACCTGCAGACCATACAGGGCTGCCCTAGATAGCTTCTTGACCGCTATCTGGTGCAAACCTAATCGAACGTAAGCGCATCCCAGCATTTATACCATACGAAGCGTTCGAAGTCCGCGAAATGAAAACGCGAACGCCGAACGCCACCTGGCAAGGAAAGAAACACTCCAAACCGAGATCTACTTTCAGGTGAAATAGGAATGGCTGGTTGCCCGACTGACGTATTTTCAACTAGGAGAAAAGCCAAATACTCAAAGTGAAATGCAATGGTTACAAAGAGAGAAAAACTCACACTAGTTCATAAAATGAATGAAAATGGTAGATAACTAG